GGAAGGCTGGGTCAACCCTGAGCCGGTGAGATTTGAACAGCCGAACTGCAGATAGCAGTCAGCTGAAGTGGCCTGCAGTACTGCACCCTAACCACTGCGCCACCTCGGCTCTTGGGCCCTGCTGGATTAGACCTGGATTGGTTCTTACAGAAATCCACCAGTTTCCCAGCAGATGGGAGGAGGAAGAGGAGGAGGAAGAGGAAGGAGGAGCAACCTTTATCCTCAAACAATTGAAACCCACCAGAAGAATGAAGAAAAGCCCCCCACCCACCCACCCAGGCTCCCCGTTTACCTGTAATAAGCCAACTGCAAAGCGATTTGGATGAAAGCATCCGGACTGATTTTCTCCGATTTGGGGAAATTTTTCCCAAACTGATGGAAGACGGTCACTTTGATATCCAGATCTTGCACCATGCTGCAGAAGAAGGACGGGAAGCGGATCAGACAAGGATCCTTCACAAGTAACCCTCGACTTACGACCGTCGAAACCGGAACGTCAAACTTAGATGAATGGTTGTAAGTTGAGGACTCCCTGTATGTCAGGGTTCCAAGTAACGCCCCCAACGAAATAAAACTCCCACGCTTGAGTTTCCTCAAAGTTCCACTTTATTAGAGATGTCATGTTGGCACATCTGGGGAAACCCGGATCTGAAAGCTTCCAGGTTGCCCCCACCCAGCTGAAAGATCAAGATCCTGTCTCCATCCCCACAGGTCCACCCCATGGTCCAATCTCCCACTGCCACGAAGACAGATTCCTCCCATCCAGTTCCAGCCAAGTGACGTACAAAGATGACCTTGAGTTTCCAAAAGAATGTTGTTATGGCTACATATCTCAATTCCATAGAATCCCCCTTCCCATTTTTTCCCACAAAAGTAAGTTTTCCAAAAAGGAAAGATGGCTTTCGGGCATAACCCTGTACTGACTTTGGACTGATGTGATGAAGCTTACTCACATGTTAAGGTTCTGTTTGGCGTGTTCAATGTCGTTCTTGATTTCCGGGGTGATGTTAAACCGTAGTTTCTTCGGCATCGGTAACGGCACCATGGGAGACCTTACAAGCTCTGGCTTCTTTCTACCAAAAGCAGCGAGGACATAGTTGAAGCACAGGAAAGAAACTTTTTTTTTTTAAGACAGAAAATCAGGGCTTCCCTGATTCTTGAATTAGAAACACGCGTTGAAAAGACGAGCGGATATTGAGTGAAGAGTGAACACCGCCCAACAGCTGGATTATGTGAAGACCCTCCTGGATTGGTTGCCAGAAGGGGGGAAAAATAAAGCTATTTGAAAGCCAAGCTGCCTTAGTGTTCTGGCCCATGCCAGTGGCCAGCAGAGCTGGCAGCAGAGTCGCAGAGTGAGGAGGTTGGGGAGGAACCTGGGCCGGTCCTGGAGTCTGGGGAAGGCTCTGGTGATGAGGGCTCTGTGTCGGAGGCAGAGAGGGGGCCAGGGCCGTATGCCAGTTACCAGCTGCCTTCAGAGTCAGACATCAGTGAGGCAGAAGAACAGCTGGAGCCTGTTCCCAGTGTGCGCATGTGCAGAGTGGCCAGACGAAGGGAAGAGCTAAAGAACAGGGGTCGACTTGGGAGTAAGGCCACAGGTGGAGGATGAATAGCAATAGCAATAGCAGTTAGACTTATATACCACTTCATAGAGCTTTCAGCCCTCTCTAAGCGGTTTACAGAGTCAGCATATCACCCCCAACAACAATCCGGGTCCTCATTTCACCCACCTCGGAAGGATGGAAGGCTGAGTCAACCCTGAGCCGGTGAGATTTGAACAGCCGAACTGCTGAACTGCAGTCAGCTGAAGTGGCCTGCAGTACTGCACCCTAACCACTGCGCCACCTCGGCCCCTTCCAAGCTAGATAAGGTCTGTGGTCCTAAATATTCCTTTGGAAGGCTGTTTGCCAGGCCTTGGCTGAAGGAGAGGAATCCACATTCGTTTCCATAAAAGGGGTTCTGTCGGGACCAGGACTCTGCCTTCTGCTTTTTTGGGGGGCGCCCAGGCCAGGACACTTACGTGTATTCCACAATATGATCCAACAGAGCCACAATGGGGGGGCCCTCGGACGGTGCGTGTTCGTAGACCAGCCCGCAGGATCCGTCTTCCGCCACAATGAACTGCAAAGAGAAACCCAGATGAAATTGGGGCTGGCTGCGTCGGCTCCGTTGCTGAGTTTTCTTTCCTTCCTGATATTTTACTCTTCCTTAAAATCCTAGGACTGTAAGGGACCCCCGGAGGTCTTCTAGTCCAACCCACCCCTGCTACAACAGGAGACCTTACACCATTCCAGAGAAATGGCTGTCAATCTCTTCCTAAAGGCCTCCAACGATGGAGCATCCACAACTTCCAGTGGCAAGCTGTTCCGCTGGTTATTTGTTCTAACCAGTGTTTCTCAACCTTGGCAACTTGAAGATGTCCGGACTTCAACTCTCAGAATTCCCCAGCCAGCGAATGCTGGCTGGGGAATTCTGGGAGTTGAAGTCCGGACATCTTCAAGTTGCCAAGGTTGAGAAACACTGGTTCTAACAGGAAATTCCTCCTCAGTTCTAAGTTGCTTCTCTCCTTGATTAGTTTCCACCCATTGCTTCTTGTCCTGCCCTTGGGTGCCTTGGAGAATAGCTTGACTCCCTCTTCTTTGGGGCAGCCCCCGAGATATCGGAAAACTGCTCTCGTGCCTCCCCTCTTCTCTTTGTTAGATTAGATTTAGCGCTCGATCGGAAAAACCTCCTGCATTTTCCTCCAAGGCCGTCATTGAAAAGCCATCGCACTGAAATCGACAGAATTCTGGCTTCCTAAAATTGGGTGGAGGCTGGACGCACACCCCAACTGTCAACGCAATCTTGAAACATCTGGGAAAGGGACGCACTCTGAGGAAAGTTGGCATTGTGGCCAGGAAATTCCACCCAGCCCCCTGTGTGTCAGAAACCTTGCGACGGAGGCAAAGGTGAGGGGGAAGGCCTACTCCACACCAATTTACCTGCAGGGTCTTGTCGAACCAGCGGTTTCCACTATTCCATCGGCTCCCTCCTCCGTGCAACATCTGGGCAGCCACCCGGCTCTTATAGACGTCGTCTGAGACCCGGGGAATTGGGGCGTCCAAGCAGACGGTGAAAATGCTCTTTTCGATCGTGCGGACGGATTCCTTGTTGGTCTTGTCTGGAAAGGAAGGAAACGCTCCATCAACACAGACACACACAGAATCACAAGTGTTCAAAGGGACGCCAGAGGTCTTCTAGTCCAACCCCCTGTTCAAGCAGAAGACCCTTTACTGTCTTACTCAAAGGGTTGTCTAGTCTCTTCTTAAAAACCTCCGGGGGGGGGGGGGATCACCCACAATTTCTGAAGTTTCTCTTTAGTTCCCCTACATAGAACATAGAATAATAAGGGTTGAAAGGGACCTTGGTGGTCTTCTAGTCCAACCCTTGTTCAAGAGGAAGACTTTATACCACTCTGGATCTATCTAATATCTTCTTAAAAACGTCCAGTGTTGGAGCATTCACAACTTCTGGAGGCAAGTTGTTCCACTGATTAATTGTTTGTCTGGAAATTCCTCCTCAGTTCTAAGTTGCTTCTCTCCTTGATTAGTTTCCACCCATTGCTTCTTGTTCTGTCCTCAGGTGCTTTGGATAATAGTTTGACTCTCTCTTCTTTGGGGCAGCCCCTGAGATATTGGAAGACTCCCATCATGTCTCCCCTAGTCCTTCTTTTCATTAAACTAGACATATCCAGTTCCTTCAATCATTCATGACAAGCAATGGAGGGTAACCCATGTGGGGCCTCCCTGGGAGTAAGGGATGGGGGTTGACCTTTGATGAGGTTGTTGTAGGCTTTGGCCCAAGTGTTGCGATGATTGCTTGTTAAAATCCCGATGGGCTCCTTGTTGGTTTGAAGGGACGTATTCCAAATCTTTTCCAGCTGAATAAAAATCTGGTCGGTGGTCAGAGGGCTCCCGTCGCTGCGGTAAACATCCAGCTGAAAGAACTGGAAAAAAAGGAGACGCGGCAAATTGTCATCTATGGCAAATAAATACGCAACTTATTTGTCTCCGGTTTTATTTAAGGAAGCAGGTGAAGAATGGTACAAAACCCCAGTGTTTTCTTGCAGTCGTTTCATAACCCAACTGGGTAACATCATCAGTGCTAGCGGGTGAGCGGTGTTTGCTCTCTGTTTTTATGCAAGTTGCTTGCCCTGTCAGTATTGGTGTGTGTGTGTGTGTGTGTTTTTTTCTTGGTAATTTGTTCACTGCTTGAATATTGGTCTAGGGTTAATCCTGCTTATCTGGGTATTGACTGCTGGCAAAGTGGAGTTTTCTCTTTTCTTTTTGTTTTCATTTGAACAGTGTGTAGATGTGATTCATTCTGTGTGCCCGTTGATGGTTCATTCGTCTAAGGAATTCTCTAGCATTTTGGGACTTAGCTTGATCTGGGATGCTCAGTTTCCCAGTTGAAACCATGGTTAAACCATGGTGGGGGGGAGGGAGGGATATATACTACGTGTTAGATTTCAATGTAATGCGACTTCGCATGTATACTGTTTCTCTTTAATTTCTTTGTAAAAATAGGACAAGTTGAGTACATTGACATATAGTGGAAATACACCAAGGGGAGGAGGAGAGGGATAGAAG